TTCACAAGGGACCATTGTAGCTTTGTTACCGCCGTGGCATGACAACATGGGCACCGCTTATTCTGCATTGTGTTCTAACTCTCTGTCGTGATCAAAAAAAAGGAAAAAAAAAGGGGGGGGGGGGGGGGGGGGGGGGAAAACAAAANNNNACAGAGGCCACCATGTGGCTTCAATCCTGGTTCTACACTGGGATAGTGGCGTCATCACACTGTGAAATCAATAAAGGAAAAAAAAAAAAAAATCCCAACCTTCCATCTTCAAATGTCACTGTGTTTACATCCTGACTGTAACAAAGGTAAAATATACAAATAAATGAACAAACAGGTCTGGGTTGATTGGTGGACAGCTCGCAGTCCAGACCAGGAGCTGGAATCATCAAATTTTTTTATTGTGCCAATAACTATACATTTCAGGCAACCTCCAATGGGGTTGCAACACCAAGGTTGAAAAGACAGACCTAGACCAGGGTTGAGTCACGGCCCAAAATGTGGTCAGTCTTTTACCATACCTTGTATCAGTGTTTCGTGGACCAGATTAGAAAACCTTTGTTGGCCTTATCTGGCCCGAGGGCTTTAGTTTGCACAGGTCTGGTCGAGACCTGCGGGTTCAGATGTGGAAAAAAGTCCATGCAGGAAGAGCAGTGATAGAACCAGTGGTCTTCTTGCAGTAAGGCTACACCAATTACTCTTCCACTGGGTGACCCACAGTCACAGTGTGTTTGTGATCATCGTTTCTTTGTTTGAATATCTTTAGTCTTTTGGTTAATTCCAGACTCTTTTTAAAATTGGTTTTCCTCCACTGAGTGATGTGTCTTAATGTTTGAAGTCTTTGGTTCTTTTTGTCTCAATCACAAAGTCTCCTCTCAACAGTTAAAGAAATTGTAAAAAGTCACCTGAACTCCTCTTATCCTTGTTCACTTACCATTAAAACGACAGCAGTCGTCTTCAGAAAATCCCTTCCCCATCGTGCTGTTCACTGCAGTAAATTAACTATTATCTTTCCCTTTCAAGAAGAGTTTTCTGTTGGTAAAAAAAATAATTAAGTTGTAACTGGAGAGAATAAAGGAGCATTGAATGTTGAAATATAAATACTCCATTGTTGTTAACTGCAGGAATTAAGACACAAAATTATTTCCTGTTAAACTGTACGAACGTGTGTATTTCAGCACAAATGCTGCTGTTCTTTGTAGCGATTGTGGTTTAACTGACGTCTCACGATGAAGTGAAAAGAAGAAAGGATAAAAGGAAAGAAGGAGAAGGAAAACAAAATAAGTCAAATGAGGCGAGGAAGAAGGAAGAACAAGAGACAAAGAAGAAAAGAAAAAAGGATAAAAAAAGAAAGCAGTAAAGAGTGACGAAGAAGGAGGAAGAAAAGACAAGAAAATGAAAAAGCAGTGAATCTGTTCTCCTCACACCGTAGCTGTCAATGTCTTCTAGGTCCAGTCCTGGAGGAAATGCGTTTGACCTTTTCTTCTTTTCCAGTCTTACAAATGGTAAATTGCTGTTGGAGCCTCCTATCAAAGAACTGTTTCACTGATATAAGAGGAGTTCTGGTTCAGCCTGGAACTCCTCTGAAGTCTCAACAGTGTGAACGTGTTACACTAACAGAACACAACACAACACGGCAGCTGTGATTCTGCTCTGAGTTGAGGATAATCCTCACTGGTTTCTTCCGTGATTAGAACTCAACAAACCAGGTTTTCACTGTGTGGCAGATATAAATCTCTAACAAGTCAAATTCAACCGGGAGCTTACGTTTCATATATATTTAACTTGTTTTTATTGGCAACCGTATAACAGGTTTATCAGGTGTCTTTCTGATGCTAAAAAAAAAACTGGTAAAAACTATGGTATGCGTACCACCAGTGGTATGCCAGCGTTCTCTAGTGGTATGCGGGGAAAATTCATATTTTCATAATTCCATTTTCAGTTGAATAAATCTAAAACATATCAAACGAATAATACAACGTTTAAACATAAACATCTTTCTAAACATTTCTAAACATCTCTCCTGTGGTGGAAGCTAACAGTGAAGGCCTATGCTGCTATATTCTAATGTTGGTCATCATGGTGGTACTCAGAGAGATCCAGGTTTGGTACAGAGTATAAAAAGAGAATCATTGATTTAAGGTGTACCAAGGATAAATTGTGCTGAAAATAAAAAAATGAATGAATCACAATGAAAAAATATAAATAATGACATATAGCCAGTGTCCAGATGTGACCGTTTTTGCTGGCCGGAAGGAAGTGGGACCTGGACCGGAAGTTTAAAACACCAAACTAACACCCGTTGTACTGTGTAAACACTCACCAGGAGTGGGTTGTCCTGTAACAACACGGGGGAGACGATCAGTCAGGTGGTGGTGGAACTTTTGTTAATCCACATATTAACATCAAAGTAATGCTGACATAACAAACTTCAAAAAAGCTCCAAACCATCGACAAACATCCAGGGTCTTTCTTGGTTCTCCACCTTCTTCTTGAGATTCTTCTTCTTCTGGGTCTGACACTTGATCTGGTTGGACCACAGTTTCTAGTCTGGCTCATTACCATTTAAAGGTAAAGACACAGTAACCAGCAGAGGTGGGACCAAGTCATTGCTTTGCAAGTCACAAGTCTCAAGTTGCACTCAAGTCCGAGCCAAGTCTCAAGTGAAGACAGGCAATGTCAGAGTCGAATCCAAGCCAAGACTAAAAAAGGGTCAAGTCAAGTCTCAAGTCCTGCTGTTTCTGTTTCGAGTCCTTTTGAACAACATAATATATTTACACAGATCATTGCCACTCGTTTTTTGTTGACCACCTCATGTAGTTTTTAAATCAGAACAGCACGATCTTTGGTATCATTTTCTCTCACGTGTTGTTTGACAGCTCTTCCTCATTGGTTGTCCCGCAATTTGATTGGCTGGATGCTATCGCGTCAAAACAACGTGGGTCTAATTTGATTGGATGTTGTGCTGACAGCACATACACACACATAAGCACACACGTACACAATGATAGATACAGAGCGCTCCTTAATCTTTCTTCTTTCTTTTTCTTTGGGCTTTGTCCCTTCTTTTTATTTTCAGGGGTTGCCACAGCGAATCATTGATTTCCATCTCTCCCTGTTCTCTGTATCTTCTATTCTGACTCCAACTATCTGCATGTCCTCCCTCACTGCATCCATATATCTCCTCTTTGGTCTTCCTCTCTTTCTCCTACCTGGTAGCTCCATCTCTAACATTCTTCTACCAATGTATCCACTGTCCCTCCTCTGCACATGTCCAAACCATCTCAATCTGGCTTCTCTAGCTTTTTCTCCAAACCTTCCTGTCTGTGTTGTCCCTCTAATGACCTCATTCCTGAT